AGTCACTTATACCACGCGTCGTCAAATCTCTGGTCGATTGCCGTTGAGACCAGTCAAAACTTCAGTCCCTCCAGGGTTATTACTTGATGCCAGACTCACCCGAGAGGTTAGTAATTATGACCCGCATAAGGCTTGACCCAGCGAACGTGTGTGTAGGTCAAATTGCATTCGATGCCATGATGGAAGTGGATGCGTGGCGCATTTACGGGGGGAGTGGTTTATATCTACGGTTCTATTATTCTTGTACGTTTCTCATCAAGAAATGAAAAATAGAAAGTAGAAAAAGTAAATAGATGCGAAAACTGGATTGCTGGTTTCGCAGACTTTTGTGATAAAAATATTTACGTACTGTGTACTGGAAAACCGTTTTCAGGACAAAGGTTTTATGCTCTTTTGAAAACTTGCCATTTAACCGATGCACGGGGAAAATGTAGGGCCACAGGAATGAGTCTGACTCCCCTCTCAGACATTGCGCCATTATAACTCACGCATCTTTTAGTTAACATGTCTATTATCGCTTTTAATTGGCGATTAGTGCAGAACTCCTTCTGTTATACTCACTTGAATTACCACGCATTCGTCCCAGTTGTTTTTTTTGGTTTTGAATTCATTTTGTGGAGATTCCTGTGGGGTTTGGCTGTTTTACGTACAGTTTTTCCTAGAAGTGTAAACAGCGCAATAGTTCTAAACCAGTACAGGCGCAAAATTGCTTTGTGGTTTCGTAGAATTTCAAATTTTGTGACGAAAACACATTTATGAAGTTGTTTTTACAAATCAGAATAGATCGTGCGAAGAATGAAGCTCTTGTGATTCAGGTACGACTGAACGAAAATGGAGAGCCAATTATGGTCGAACAGGAAAAGCGTGAGGAAAAAATCACGACCGTGGAAAGGCCTGTTAGTTCTTGAATGATCTTTGACAACAAGTTGTTTATTTATCAGTTCAATTTTGAATAAAATTGTATAGTTGATGCCGTTCACATGGACAGTACCAGATGGCGGTTTTGTCAGTCCACAAACGGTACGCTTCACGCTCACTCCGTTTGTGAGCGCTAAGCGCTTTTCGTGCAATTTGATGTCTGGAGGCGAACACTTCTTCCACTTCCGAGTCGATTTCCACAATGCTAACGAAAAATCGAGCAAGGTTGGTGATTTTTCTCATATTGAAGAAAAAAGGACAGTGAGGATCGGTGTCGATCAAGTCCTTCAACAAGCCTTTTCCCGTTCTCACCTATTCTTCCCCCGTCCCACTTTCAAAATTATAAAGGTATGAAACGCGTAGTAATTGCGAGTGTCTCAGGATATCTATCAACCGTGAGGCTTGGCAGTTCAGCGTTTTGTAGTGTTGTCTGGGAGCTCTCACAAATGCACACTATCACAGCATCTTTGCTTTATTATTTCCTATTGCTTTATTTATTTCCTATAAGAAGCTTTGTCTTACATTAGTACTTTCTACACCCTCACTGTTTGGTTGTCAGAAATCGTGTAACCAGTTGCGAGAGTCAGCCTGTGTTTGATAGAGCTATGAGCTACACGTTGATAGAGCTAGACTGATATAATATTCTAACAGGTGAGCGGAACGGCGCTGATAAGAAACTGAGGTGATTAAAGGTATGGTCTAACGATCAAATTGGTGTGGCTTTTGCACAGGAATGCATTGGTGCGAAGTGGGCTAGCAGTAAAGAAGGAAAAGAATCCGTCGAAAAGGCCTAGCGTTAAGGATCGCCTCACCTTCGCTGTAGCTGTGCTAAGTTATGTAAGCGGGGGATGTTACGGGAGACACAGCGTGGTATTAGTGATTGGGAACTGATAATAGCTGATAAGAGGGGCTAGAAAGCGAGCATCGCCAATTTCGTTTTGTCGTTCATATTGGTACTAGAGCGTCTATACTTACAAGTGTTATGTGGGGCGGTCCCGGGACATTGGTGGTACATGATTGGAAGCGATAGCAACTGATAAGGGCTGATAAGGCGCGTCAGAACGCAAAAGTCGTCGATTCCGTTACCTGGCTCGCGTTGACACCAGAGCAACCATGCTCACAAGTGTTATGGGGTGGGGTGGGACGGGAACATTGGTGGTGGGTGACTGAAAGCGATAGCAACTGATAAGGGCTGATAAGGAGCGCTAGAGCGCAAATGTCACGAAATTTATAACGCGCGGCCCAGCAGCAATAAGGTGCTGATAACAGCTGATGAGGACTGATAAGAGCGATTAGCTCGAAACGGAGAATTCACTAAATCTGCATATGCGCGATGAGGAGAACACTTCGTTCTACTTGCGTTATCATCGTCAGCATCCTTCAGACCGATAATTTGCCCGAGTTCCTCAGAATACTCGGTGTGAGCGGAAACACGGATAAGCAGTGGTGGGCGTATAATGTGTATCTATTCAATGTCACCGGTATAGAAAAGTATCCGACCGCTAATCACTACAACATCCGAGGCATGGTGGTTGTTCGCGCTAAGGGTGATAATGAGCAGCAAAGTAATTGTTTTGCTTATTCCAAGCCTAATCGGCCGCTAGACCGTGTTAGTTTCCGGAAAATGATGAATGTTTATGGGTATTGTTGACCTATGAGGAGTTACAGCTTTATCACCATCACTGTAAGAACTCTCCAGTCAAATGCATAAATGCATGCATGTTGCTTAATACAAGAGCCCGGCTATGCTCAGTCTGCTGGAGGCTACTTTGACATGCGCCGCGAAAGCGAGCGGAGCCAAACTGTCGTTAGTAAGCGCGACCTACTAGGGCCTAATAAAAGTTGCCTAGCCTAAGAGAGGCTCGACGATGTTTTTCAATGAGAATGAGCAAGGATTTCAGGAAGCAGTTGTCCGCAACAGTACTCGAGGTTACAAGTGGCAAACAGAAGAGAGACATGTCACGACTTTCCCTTTCTCTAAAGGCATCACTTCCGACATACTTTTCGTAGCTTATGGATCGACCGTGGCTGTAAGTGTCGCATATTTTCAATATGTCATGCGTTCAGGAATCGAGTTCACGCTGCGTCTTTTTCAGGTTGACGTCGATGGATCACCGTATGTCAAGTTCGCGTACCGTAATGGTGACAATCCTGCGCAAATTGACAGGATTACGGTGGAAGGTGATTGTGTCTTGCAACGATTCGTACACAAAGCGTGATTTGGATTGGTTGGATATTCATCATCTACTTTGTATGTTTTTTCCTTGCCCTTTTTCCAATTTCCCGGTACATGGAATAGCCATATTAGTGAGTCAGAGCTTAGAAAGTGATTTTAAACCTGCTTCTACCCTTCACTCTAGTCCTACGCTTTCGTATATCAGCTTTTCTCCTCTTTTATTTCTTTTTTTGAAACGTTTTTCTCGGTGATATGCCTCTGGTTTGTGTTTTTTGTGTTTTCTTTGATAGTTTTCCAAATCTGTTCCGTGCTCCTTGTTGGTTTTCCTGCTCTGAGGCTTACGGTTGCGCCCTTCATGTCAATATTAGAGTATTTTTGCTGCAAGCTTCGGGTAGAACTGTCAGTTGTGTAGGTGGGGTGCGGAGTGGGCTTAAACTGAAAAACAAAAAAAAATCAAATACTCTGAAAATTAAGCTTTTAAATCTTGTGTAAGGTAGGGTGTGGTACAACGAAGATTAAGAGATAGTAAAGAAGACAGGAACGTGAGAGCGCGCTGTGCGAGAGGGCACAGAGAAGTGGCCGTCGCGGCCGTTTCCAACAAGTATCGGCCACGGCTGGCAGTCGGGAGCATTGGTAGGAACCTAGCGCCCATGTCGTTTTCTTTCAAGCGGTGTCAGTGGCGCGTCAGCACGTGATCTGGATGATCCTTCATGAGTTGTGTGAACTTCATAGGGCCCTTGCATTAGTTTCTACAGTATATTCCTTTGATAGAAGTGAAGTGGTGGCAAGTGACGTCCTTCACCACGGGCACCTGCACTTCCGGATCAACTCATGGGTCCGATCTTTCCCAATACAATACGTCTAGCTGATTGCTACCAGAATTGTTGGGAGAGTAAAGCACTGACGACACTATCGCATCACAGGGGGGCACTGTGATGGCAATGTGTTTAAAACCGCGCAAACATATCTTTTTTTTGTTGAAAACGGGTATAAGCGTAAATGTGGGGGGAGGGAGGGAGAACTCCAAGGGTGTAACTATATTTCAAATTCTTTGGAGTTCCTGCCTCCTCCTAGGCTTAGTTGTAGAGGATGCCCCCATAAATTGCTATAGCGCCGCACTGACTTTACAATGCATGGATTGGCCCAAACATTCAAATACCACTGTGATGCTGAATGGAATCAAATGCGTGGTGCATCCCAAAAAAGTTATTGATTGACGATGGTTTTTGGTTTTGTTTCGCTTAAACTGTTCCAGGATGAGAATGGTGATAGAATTTCATCTCGGTTGAATAGTGGTGGCAATAGTAACCTAAAACGCTGACCTTAAATTTCGGAGCGATTCATAGTTAAAGCAACAACCCCAGCAGAAGTCGTGTCGAAGAATCTATTCTATTAGTGGGATAGAATAGCCACGAGTAGCACAGATGTGCCAGTTGTCGCGGCTTGAAAGTGCGCGACAATGACGCTGGTCTTACAAAGTCAGCACTTGGCGAATAATCTTAGCCTTTGGACGAGATACTCCGCACTCCGTAGCATGAAAAGATGATTATGACGTTGCGGATAAGATAGCCGAAATGTGGATAGTTATGGTAGATGGATCGCATTGAGGCGATTGTTCAAAAAGCACGTCCAGACACTCCTTTCCTTGCCCACATTATCGACCGCTGCTATTTTACCAGTTCGCACTAGGTTTGCTGCTTTGAGCTGAGATTTTTCGGCAATTTGAAAAAGCGATTTAATTCTGATTTAGCGTCATATACTCACCGTACATCACGTGCTTAGATAACTTCGACATTAAGCTGATTTTCACAATCAGCAGCAGGGTGACCCGAACTGCAAACATGCAAGCTGCTAAAGAGTTTTCTTTTTTTTGCTGCTGCGCTGTAATAACTGATCCCCCCTCCCAAGAAGTAGAATTCCCTCTACATTCGTCTCTATCTGATGCACAAATTCTTACAGTTCATTTTCCATTAAATGTGGTTTTTAATCTTTATTTTTCCGCAATTGTAAGTAGGACTTCTTCTCTTTCCCAACATGGCTGCTCCTGTTGCTTTGAATTCGCTTACAGCATTGTGATAACATAAAATTCAACGAGTTCATTCCGTCTAATTCCATTTTTTACGTGACTTTTTGTGTTGGTAATACAAATTGAAATATTAATTGTGAACGTGCAATCATTTACTTGACATTTGTGATTACTTTGGACTTTGTAGATGTTTTTTTCTTGTTTTTTTTCCTGTTTGAATTTTTAATTTGATTTATTTTTCGAAGCTTCTGTACGCTAGTAGTGTATAGCATTCCATACAATAAACTTTATCCTTTGTACGCTCATAGTAATTTCATGTTTCGTAAAATCATGTATCATCTTCAGTATTTTTCAGTGGTGGGGACCACCTGCTGTTCACCACTGGAATTTCGCACCAAAGGGGCAACCAAATATCTCTTCTTCTGGAGGGGTTCCGTGCCCGTGCGTGGCCATGGTTTCGTGACAGGAAAGCTGGGATTATCTCTCAACTTGATCTTTTTACCGTTCATAAGCGGTGGAATGGATAAGTACTACCACAAATTTCATTCCCTTTTTAGTCAATAGTGTGGT